TTAAATTTGTCAGTAATTTAATTTATTGATTAGTATCTGTAATCTTAACATGGGGAATTACATAAGTGTTTAATGGGGAATTTCGAAATATAAATAGAGGAGTGCAATTACGAATTTCTAGATGAATAATTTGTAATTTATTATGGTAAAAATAATTCAAATTAATTATTTGGAATTATTTCCATAATAGGAAGCCTCAACAATTAATTTTGTGGTCCCTACAGTGCCCATATTTAACTAGAACTTAAAATCTTATTTCTAAAAGGAAAAGGGGAGACAAGCGTGTTTTTTCTTATAAAAAGAAAACACGCGTATATTTTTTCTGGTTGAAAAAAATAGATTGTGTTTTGTTCTCCCCTTTGGATTGGGAAGAAATCTCTATAATTAGGGATTCTTCTAACCCTAGAAAGATCGAATGTTTTCTATTCGATACTTGCCCACCCAAGTATTGAGAGTGTTCGGATGTGAACTTGCGATCACTGTAGAAGACCGCAAACTGTTGTTTTACTTGTGGAGTCCCTTGGATTTGCTTGAAGGTATCTGCTCACGCTTCAAGAGGTAATTCTTGAATTAAATTTCAGTAAATTTATGTTTTCTAGCATATTATATGTGTTCTAGCATAAACGATTTGGTTAACTATTATTCATGTAAGTAGTAAGATTCTGATATGCTTCTGTTGTGCATAATGTTTTCCAACAATTGACATCAAGAGTCATGCTTGCATCTCTAATAAATAACCTAGACAACATATGTATATGTTAGTTCATACACGCAATTCATAAATTGTCCACGTTGGAAAAGCTATAATAAAATCAATGCTGAAATCCATAGCTTTATGTGTTTTCTGAATTGATTGGCTGATTTTATGCAATAATGGTTGGCCATAGATCTCTCTAATTGTTGATTGGTAACGTGGAGAATGTAGGAATTATTGAATTTTATAATCTCTGATTGACTTGTAATTTGATGGTTTCATCGAAAATATTTAGATGGATTTTAAATAGTTTAATTTGATAGATTAAAATTTGATTTGAATATAATAAGATCATTCTTTATATCAGTTTTATTTATGCTAAATGTGATACATGATTACACATTATGATTTAACATGAATTGATATACGATAAGGATATAGATCTGATTATTTTTTCTTAAATCATTTGAATTTGAATTTGATCATAGCTTTGGAGATAACTATTAATTTTATACTCTGATTGATCTGAAATTCGGTAGGCTCATTAGAAACGATCAAATTAAAAATATTCATAGTTATGCAGTGATTTGGCAATTTGAGGTCGTTTAGATAATAATTTTAGATATTTCTTTGTATCTTGAAAATTAATTTTAATGAAAATTACTCGACTATGATATATTGGTGATAAACATTGTTCTTTATGATCTTCATGACTAAATTTTAGTGAAGTATTAACTTCATGTGTTGGTTTTAGACCCATCCTCCATATCAAATGAAATTAATACGAGTCACTAGATTTAATCTGAGCTCTAGTTTTGATAATCTATATTGACTCTCCCTATCTGAGTAATATTTGATTGAATCAATGGATCTAGGGATAATGATATTCACTTGGCTTAAATTAACATATACTCTCCATCTGAGTTAGCTTTTGTTCTAAATTTTTTGGAGTGAATATCTGGCACCACATATGTATGTTGTATGAGTAGTTATTTTTCATCAAAATTTATCGTTCAAGGTGCATGAATATCTATGAGTTATGTTTTGAATTTCAATATTAAGTGAATACATAAACATGTGATTTTTTGAAAAATAGCACTCAGATAATGTAAATAGCTTTTAGAATTTCGTTCTTTGTTCTTGATACGTGTATCTGTTTCACAAATGATGATATGTTATAAGAATTTTTGAACGGAAAAATTCTAAATTCTATTTTGACCAAATAACCTTTTAAACCGAATTGATCATAGTTTTGAAATATGAAAATAGGAACTCTGATTGATCTGAAATTCGGTAGATTCATAAGAACGACCTAGTAAGAAACATATATATATTTTTGACTCGTTATATGAATTTTTGGTCATATTTGATTGAATAGTAATGAAGTAATAGTTTTATGTGTCGGCTTAGACCTTCCTCCCTATCGGATGGAATTAATACAAGTCACTATGTATTTAATCATCTAGTTTTGATAATCTGTATTAATTCTCCTAAAATGAGTAATATATGATTGGATCAATGTAACTAGAGAATTTTCACTTGACTTAAACTAATAGTAGACTCTCCATCTGAGTTAGGTCTGTATAAGTTTATGGAGTGAATAATCGGTCATTGTACATGTGTATTGCATGGGTAGTTCTCCAATCCCATCTATTGGCTATTCGAGATGCATGGATATATATGTATAAATGAGCTTTGAATTTTTCTATTTAGGATTATTCGAAATATTATGATCTATTTAATATATTATATCTCATATTCTCAATAGACTTTACGCACCCACTTAATACTACTTAAGTTTTTCTTTTGATAGAGATAAAATATTAATTCAAAGAATGCATTGTACATGTACCTTATGTTGGAAGGAATTATTTTCAGTTTCTAACTAGATAAGAGATGAGTATTTAATATATTTGTTTGTAACTCTCCTATCATTGAGTTTGATGAATATTTTATTTC